GGCCTGCGGTACAAATAAGCAAGGCGTTTTCGAGCCTTTAACTTTCAAAGGGTCAATTTTACGACAAACCCTTATAGGAACGTTTTTGAAGGACATTTTATCTTCTTCAATTTTGTATAGATCGTAAGTTTCGGTAGGACTGATAGTTACGGAGATATATGCAAAAAATGTAGAAAAAAAATTTTGTGTCAGTAGGGCCCCCCACCTCCGGCTCACCCCCACACTTCAAAATGTTTAGTATAATCTGCGGTAGGTACCACCAAACAATCATGACAAGTTTCTTAACTCCGGGATTATTTTCCTGCGATCACCAGGTTTTGGTCTAAATTGACTGAACTACTCAGTGAGCGCGTGGCGTTAATGTCCACTGGTGGGTTTCCTCCTATCTTCCCCCGCGCTGGCACCACCCCAACCCCTACGCATACAACTCTCATCACATCTCTTCCGTTCACAAACGACTCACTTCATGTTTTCACGACAAGCAACACGAGAAAGGGCAATTTTTCAATAAAAATAAATTTTCATACATTAACAGTTTCTCTCATGCGGATGACTACCACGTTACGAACAATAATACCTTAAGTGAAAAGTAAATGTTTAGCATGCTTACCTTTGTCTGATCATTTTCCTCCAAATCATCCCACAAATCGAGATGTGCCAAGCTTTCTAGGAGATCCATGGAAGATAAAACCTAAAAAAAACTTGGTTATTCAAAAATATATACCTGCGTTTCTGCTTTTTGCACAATAACAACAGCAATAATAATACTATTTTACTTCAATAAGCAATTTACACTTTTTGTGACGAGGAGAGTATGCCATATGAACTGTTGAGATGCAAAAAAAGAACATCTCAAACTCATCGTTTTCAGGATAGCTAAAACATTGGACGAATGAGAGAGACGAGTCCCTGAACAGGGTGAAAATAGGCAATTTTCTCCTGCGGAAGGGGCATTCAAATATTTAACTAGTGGTACTACAACAGCATATACTTTCTCGCGTTATTTCTGAATTTAAGATTTTCTAAAATGCAGAGACTTCCAACGAAAATGACATAGATGCCATTCTTTTAAGCGGTTATTTTTCTATCCGTGGCAAACTAGTAATGTTACAGCAGCACATACTTTCTAGACTTTAGTAACGGCTACGTAATATTATTATACAGCTGTTTCGTCCGAATTAAACATCGCAAGTCATCAATTTTTGTAAAAACTTATTACAAATCGTAAAACATTATGTGCGAAAACTAATTATTTTCAAACAAATATCAAAACAAATTCGAGAATTAAAACTTGCGCTTCATACAGCTATACCATGTCAACAATGAGACGGAATTCTTATTGATTGATGATCCATATTTTTGTCCGTATTGCGAGGAATGTATTTGTATTCTCAATGTATTGATGTATTTTCTTCAAAGTAATACGCAAACCTTAATTTAAATTACCTCGTTTAGGTTTTCTATCTTAAAAATACGATTTAAAGGTAAAATGAAAGAAAAATTGAGAACCATTATTTTATACGAACTTAGGCAATACTTATTTTTTTAACAATTATATTCCTATAACCAACCTTTCGAGAATAGATAGCCGACATTCCGTTCTATCAAATCGCACCCTCGTGCACCGTGTTCATATTCACGAATATCGAAGCATATTATAATAAAAAATAAGATAAATTGGAAGAAAAACAAAAGAGTGAAAGAGCTTATGATCATTACTACAAAAATTTGAATTTTAGTTAAGTCCACGAAGTGTCTGATCATATATATCATAGGTAGTGTAGATCATACATATCATATGCTTAGGAAATTGTCGATAAATCCCCAACTCGCGAAGCGAGAGGATTTTATAAATATTGCAAATAACCGAAAGCTATGTTAAGTTCAAAGATATGTCATACGCGGTTTATTGGGCATCGACATTGCGGTCGATGTATACCGCCTCCTCAGGCGGATGAGTCATAGTTTATGATTGGCCAGTAGGGAGAAGCAACAAGAAAAATCGGATAGAAAAAGCGATGAACTTTTTAAAACACCGCCCTCATTGGGGCATTTTGTATGTATAGTTAAACACTTTTGGTTTGAATTTCGCGAATGAAAAAGTCAGAAGAAAATCTATAACAGTTTTTTAAAAGTATTCAAATTCTCATTATGTTCAATTAATAAAATATTCAGGATGTTGCAAAACTAGCTTTCTGATAAGCAGTAAACCATAATATTTGATGAATGAAGGTGTAAGTTACACCTAATACTTTCAACTTACCTGGGCAGATTGATGTTGAAATAGCTTGCAACTGCGTTAGTCCAACAAGTGAGCCCTTGCGCACGTGTCACATTACGCCACAGTCGTCCCACAGCTCCGCACGGCACGGCCGCGCACAGCAGTACCTTAGCCACACTGACACTGCCCTACCGCGACCCCCACCCGCTTCCTCCATCAGCAGCGCCAGTGCACGCGACAGGAACGCTCCCAGCGACGGAAACGATAACTACGAATGGCTGGTGGAAACTGGTGGGAGCAAGGAACTTCTGAAACAACGTTATGCGATGTGGCGCAATAGTTTCGCGGCATTGGGAGTGGAGTTTTTGTTGGGTGTTTTTGTTCAAAATACCTACGCCTGACTTATAGATCCTCAAATTTCTCCATTATACTGAAAGTAAAATAGTTATTAATATATTAAGTGCGAGAAGCTATTGTTTTTTGGACAATCCAACTCGAACAAAAAACAATAGCCTCACCCACGAAATATAAACATTTTTCTACAATTATATGGAAATATTTCTATTACGAATTTGTTTTATCTCTACTCTATTTGATTTGTTCGAAAGAATCCCCCATCTTCGTTAACGTATAACTAGAGGTTCTGTTTTCGCGACATAAGGTAGTGAGGCATTGATGTTTCATTCGAGTTCCTATTGTATAACTGGTTACAATTACTGAATTTACAAAGGTTAAAAGAAATGTTGACATTACACAGGAGTTGTTCAATCTGAGAACACTGGAGTATTTATTATCCTAATTTATTAAAATACAATCTAAATTATTAATGTATTTACGAAAAAAATTACCATCAGTTAAGAAATTTGTTGTATATCAAATTGCTACGAGTTTCATAATATATTACGTGTTAATAGTTCATTATAAGTAGAGCCGGATTTTTATGTAATTACGTATTTTTTGTCATTCTAATTACCTTTCTCAAAGTTATAATCTTGGCGAATCGTCACAGTCCTAACACAATATCAATTTTTTCATTGCATATTTTTTACATATTTAGGATTATATTACATATTTTGCTATTTTCACAAAATATTATTTTATTCAATTGATTGAATGGGGGAAAACAGAACGGTATAAGTGCCATTTAATAAAGTCGGAGGAAATCGGGTTTATTTTATGTCAGTTGCAATGCTTTTCCGTGTTTATAATGAACTTATATGCCATGGTTTTAATGATGAAACAAAGCACCACAACTTTACAATGATACTGACTTAAATAAACACATTTCTCAGGATTTATAAAATGTCACTAATACCGTTCTGGTTTTCACCCATTCAATTTTCTTACATTTGTATTAAAAAATGTAAGAGTATTTAAAAAATTTTTTTTTTCTTCACTGCGTGCTGTCTACTCCAGGTAAGCTGCGTGGACGCGGTCGAATGTTCCCAGTCCGGTGCGCCTGCTTCGGTTATCTCAGTAGTGGGGGGAGTTGCGCGTCGGCGACTGAGATAATTTTTACCTTTAAGTGTGAAAATTATAATGACACTAACGCTGCATTTAAAACGTTTGTAATTTTCAAACAATTGTTTAGGGAATTTTCTACAAATATAATTTTGTATAACGTAAATGTGTTTTATAATTAGTATACTTTAATATTACAGATTATATCCAATTTTACATGTTTATTACATATTCTTACTGTTTTCTTAACATTTTTGAACATATTTTGACTTTGATTGATATGTACATGTTTTTCCGGTTTCTAATTATAAGTTTATAGCTATTGGGAAGTGTTTATAATAGTGAAATTAAAGTTGTTTTGCCATTAATGTGTGCTTTATTTTCTCACTTGTGAGCTTCCCACAGTGCGTAAAACCTTTTACTTTCTTGCTACTGCTTACGCAGTAGAGAGAAAGTTTTGTAATGCTGCGCGAAAAACCACGAATTTTCGCAGAAAAAAACTTTTATTACAGGCCGCGCGGAAACGAAAAAGTGGTCTCAGTTGCCTCCATTTGAAAAAGAAATCCTCTAACACGTGGGTGAGCCTGAATCCATGTTTTGTGCGTCCTTGATACTGAAAAATCGATTGACGCAAAACGCCTCTGTCCGTCTGTTCTGATACAACGTAGCGCTGAACCATGTAGCCCATTTTCTCCAAAGTTGATATTCTCTTATCGATCTGGCTGATGTCCCGCCCTTTTAATTTGAAACCGAAATTTAATTTTGGGGGTACTTTACATGAAGTCCTTGGGACATTTCCAAAATTTTCAAAAAAAATTTCAATGGCTTCAACGTTTTTGATTGACTTTGCTATTAGATAGCGTGAAGGACGTTTAAAAGAATGTTATTGGTCTCCTGTTCGTTAAAAACCCTGATTTTTCGAAAATAACAAAAATTCAAATGTTTTTCGGCGTCTTCCTACAACTACAATTATGAAGATAAACTTTTTTCTTAATGAAATATTTTCATCAAAAACATCTTCAAATCTCATGTTGAATTTTTCGAAGTATTTTGATATGAGTATTTTTTGTGAAATTACGTGTCAACATAATTATTTGTATTTTGTTTAAACCATTTTTTCTTACAAACGGCTCAAACTTTATTGATTAAATTGGGACTTTCGATATCGTAAAAGACCCTTAAGAGAATGGTAGAGGTCTCTTGTTCGACAAAATGCCTGATTTGTCAAAAATTAAAAAAAATAAAACTTTTTTCGGCGTCTCACTACTATTACAATATTGTGAAGATATAATTGTTTTTTAATGAAATATGTTCATCAAAAACAGATCTTTAAATAAGGTATTGTTGAATTTTTCGAAAATATGAGTATTTTGTCAAATTTTTGTGAAACAGAATTAAAATGGAAACAATACATAATTGATGATCAGGTCTTTAAAACATGCCCTCTACAAATTGTTTGAAGATATGATTGGTTTAGCGTAATGTTATAATTTTTGAAACTGTGTTTTTGAATGTAATGTGCAATTCGTGTTCAAACGAGCAAATTTGGAGAATATTATAATACCATAGTATTTAATAATTACATTTCTATATATTTCTGTCGATCTATTTGCATTTGTTTGCCAAAGCCATCAGTGTAATTGCGTTGTAAAATGTATATCGTTTCGTCCATTGTTCCTTAAAGCAGCGCTGGCAACAACTCGCAGTAGCGTAAGCCAATGCCGCCGCCGCCGCTGATGGGCGTATTATTTATTTACTTTTCATTATTTTACTTTCTCGCATTCTGCTTACGCACAATATGTTAAGGCTACTGGCTAAATACGTTTGGGATATGTTCGTGATTACAACGAAAACATTATACACTAAATTGAATGCCAGAAATATATTTTTATTCAAAGTTTTGAAAAATAAATCCATTTGTCTCACTTTGTTTATTTACGAGATAAAGTGATATTTGAAGTGTAAGAAGGGCAGAATTTGGTACATAATATTACATAACGATATAATAACATAATATTGCGGGAAGGTATGTGCCTTAGAGGCTCCTCTAGTTTCGCAGTGTGACGTCACAGTTAAACTATAATAAATGATAGTGTTGTTGCTTATGTTACGTAATTAAATTTCATGTCAAAATTAATGTTATTAAATATCATATCGTAGGTTTTTAAATTTCACCGAATTCTTTCGTAGGTTTTTAGCAACTGCGATTAAAAGGTTATGCACATCTTTTTTTATCCATATTTTTAACTCAATTAACTTCTGATTGCGCATTCTTCCTCCTTACGTCCTTAAACAACTTTGCATAGCTAAAGTAGTTATTCACAGATAATAACTAGATAATTCTAGGGCATACGTGAGCTTAAGGTCCTGTAAATTTTCGACTCGTTTTCATTATGAAAGTTTCCAAGGAGCCAACCGAAATAGAAGTGTTAAAAATAAATTAGATATTGAGACACACGTTTCGATAGTTCAACCATACCCTACTAAAACGATTTCGGTTTTGTTTTTTAAGATATTCATAATTCCGTGAAACTTGATACGTGGTTCACGTGTAAGAAGTGACTGACTTAGTAAATATCTGAGTTTTCAATATCTCCTAAAGATAAGATAATTTTTGTTTTATTGCATATTCCAGATGGAAAAGGGACTTTCTCTTTACTCGCTCGCCACTGCTTACGCAGCATAGTAAAATATTGCATTGCTGCAGGAAAAAAACCGGCAAATTTTCGATACAAAGCCCTTATTGCCGGGCACTGGTAACGAAAATGTGGATAAATCTTGTCCTTATATGTAGAAAAATACTTCCTATAACATGTTGTGTTAGTCTTAATCCATGTTTTGTGGGTCCTTTGAATCGAAAAATTGACAGCAAAACTACTGTCTGTCCGTCTCTGGTCAACGTCCATGGTAGCGCCTAATCCGATTTTCACCAAAATGGAAATTTCCTTATCGATCTGGTTGATGTTACGGTCCCTAGAGTTGGGAACCCATATTTTAATTTGGGGGAGTACTTTACATGCAACCCCTTAAACATTTTGTACATTGAAAGCTTCTGTTTTCAATGTACCGATGATTTTCTTTCAATTACTTTGCAAACTTTAATTGAAATTAACCGAATTAGGTTTTCCATGTTGAAAATACAATTTGAATCTACCTACATGAATGTGTGGCGTCTTTGCCGGGGCAATAAATCACAGACGTGAACGGTATGTAAATATTAAGTATTTATTTGAAAAAATGCTCCGACACCTGAATACTATGTGCAGTATTTACAAATAACAATATTGACCCGTTACCACCAAAGCTGGCCTGATAATTAAATATCATATTCGGTGTGATGCACCAGTAGCCTAATTGAGCATACAAGCGAGTATGCCGCACCTCCCGTCTCGACGTAGCACGCCGGCTTCAGTCCCCTGCCTCAGGGGACTCCCCTGCCTCCCCTGCCCACACGACTTCCTACCGACGCGCCCAAGAATCAGAAGGAGTTTAGGTCCGGGGTCCGTTTCTATTACCTTCTGGGCCGGCTGACGGAACTGCGTCATTTCGCTGTTACCGCCGACGCGATTCCGTCGCCTACGGGGTTCCCAAGTTTGCCACCCACGACACGGCACCCCTTCCCATCCGCTCCCTAGCCTTTGTTCAGCCCAGCGTCTCTTCCGCCAGCGCTGTCCATGAAATGGACGTGGCTGATATTTGGTACGTTGGTACAAGGCAACTTATATGACGCCACAAATGAA